GAATTAGTTTTGTTAGGGGTTTTGGCGCGCGTTTTTTTTAAATCGAAGAATCGATTCAAACTTAAATAAAATCTTATAGAAGATTCGAAGGTAAGAGACCCTTGATTGGTAGGGTTTTTATATTGACATGTTGTATATATACTCATAATAAAGAAAAAAAATATTTTTTAGGTACTAATATGTATATTATAGGAATTAAAAATAAATAAATAAATAAATAAATTAAAACTTAGAAAGAATTGACATGGTTGAGTTTTGACTCACACTTCAGTCCATTTCGGCTTAAGTAACTTTTTGGTGGATCAGTAATCCGTCCATCTATAAACTCAATCCCATCTTGACCCGCCCAAATCCAGTCAAATCCTCCCATTCTCCACATAGAATATATATCACTAAGGGTTCATTTACTTTGAATGCAAGTTACGATGAGATTATGCAATATTTAGTTATGATCAGATGAGGTATCCATGTATTACTTATTAGTGAATGTTCGGTTTATTGTATAAAAAATAATACTAACTTGCATAACTTATAAGATTAAGTTGTTTGTTTACAAAAAATATCCTCAACAATGTGAAAAGTGATGTATAAAAAGAGTTTGAATAGATATAAGTTATCCCAAAATTATTAAGACGATATACTAATTATTAATCACGAAATAAGTGATCTAAAGCTTTATAACTAAACAATGTATTAAATTGTACTAAAAATTTATCATAGAATTATCTCCTTTTATCGATCAATAAGTTAGTTATTTTTCAAATTTTAGTTACATACATTGACCATTAGTTAACAAACAAAACATATGATGAGATTCGAAAAAAACAGGACATATGTGAGTTTGAGAAATTAGATAGGTGCGTTAGACGCGTTTGTCCATTGATATGTTTATTGGTCAATATGAATTCTTAGGCCAATTTTTTCTCTTATAATACATTTTTCACATATTTTAAATAAGTCGATTTTGGTATCAACTTTATAGATTGGTGTAATAAGAGAATTGTAGTGTTGGGAAACGCTTTTGCGAAAATTTTGTAATTGATTGAGTTTTGAGGTTTTTGATCTCGAACTCAATCAATCATACAAATTTCGTAGTTGATTGAGTTCTGAGGTGTTTTGATTTCGAATTCAATCAATCATTCATTTGCATTTCGTTGGTGTCTCCCACCTACGTTTCTCTTCGTTTTTCTTCTCTTTTTTTAAGCAACCAATTCATTGGTGATTAAGTTTACATGTCAATGGAACTCAACCAATTTTAATTTTGCTTGATTTGATCAGCTTTTTTCAAAACAAAACAAAAAAAAATTAAAATCGTTTTCATAAATTAAAAAAAAGAAGAAGATGGGGAGCAACATTGAGGATAACCAAGAAGATGTTCCCATGGAGCTACAACTCAAGGGAAAGAAGCCTTCGAGCCAAAAGTTGAAACGACATGACTCTTTGGATGTCGAAGCAAGCAAATTGCCCGATGCCAAAAAGGTGTGTTAGCTAGCTACCTCAATTAAATACGAGACATTGTATTGTAAGTAGGAGAGTGCCTTGCTGTTATGATCCACCTCATTTAAATACGAGATATGGTATTGTAAGTAGCAGAGTTGCCTTGCTGTTATGATCCACTGAGATTTAGCCCTTCATGTTTTTGTGGTTGAGCAGGTAGTCGGAATGTCTGTGCTACTAAAACTTGCATTCCAAAGCATAGGAGTGGTGTATGGAGATATTGGAACGTCACCATTGTACGTGTTTTCAACCATCTTTCTCGAAGGTGTAAAACACGAAGAGGATATACTTGGTGCTCTATCTCTCATCTTGTATACGATCACCTTGATCCCTGTCGTCAAGTACGTATTCATCGTTCTCCAAGCTAATGACAACGGAGATGGTAAGTACTTTTCACCTACACACTTTTACTATGCTTTAATTTCCTTTTTAACTCATGATTTTGTCTTTTAATTTCAGGTGGTACGTTCGCCTTATATTCATTGATATGCCGATATTCCAAGGTGGGATTGATTCCGAGTACAATGGCAGAAGACAGCGATGTCTCGACTTTTAAACTTGATATGCCTGATAGACGTACACGTAGGGCATCACAACTTAAGTCGATGCTAGAAAACAGCCAATTCGCGAAGTTCTTTCTGCTAATTGCAACAATGCTTGGTACTTCCATGGTTATCGGTGATGGTGTCCTAACACCCTGTATTTCAGGCACGTTGTTGATTTCCCTCTCTTTTATTCTAACAGAAATAATACGAATTAGAACACTGGAGATTAACAGAGTTTATGATACTAATAAGCTAATTTATGTGATCAGTTTTGTCTGCAATTGGAGGAGTTAAAGCAGCTGCTCCAGACGCAATGACTGAAGGTAAATTTTGCATCTGTTAATGAAAATATCAACTTCTTTATCTGTTTTAATTCTCGATTTACTAATCGTTTGTTTGTTTTCGTGGTATACAGACAGGATCGTTTGGCTTGCAGTAGCCATCTTGATACTTCTGTTCATGTTTCAAAGATTTGGAACTGAAAAAGTTGGTTACACATTTGCACCTATACTTTGCTTATGGTTTGTATTGATTGCTGGTATTGGAGTTTACAACTTCGTGATCTATGATATAGCTATTTTCCGAGCACTTAATCCTATGTACATCGTGACCTATTTCCAAAGAAATGGAAAAGACGCTTGGGTTTCCCTTGGCGGAGTTGTTATGTGTATAACAGGTAACAATTTGCTTCCAACAACCTTGAAATTTTTACTGAGTACTAATTCAGAAGAGAAATGAAATAACATCTGAACAAAAACAAATTGCAGGAGCTGAGGCACTATTTGCTGATGTTGGTCATTTCAGTGTTCGATCTGTTCAGATAAGTATGTGCTTTGTCACATACCCGGCTCTCATATTAGCATATTTCGGTCAAGGTGCCTATTTAATGAAAAACTCTGGTGATGTTGCTAACACTTTCTACGCGTCCATTCCAAGTAAGTAAAAATTGCATTGGTAGTGTCAAAGTTCTTTATATCATCAGTTACTTGTGTGTAGTAGTTATGTTTGGGAAATGAATTGACATCTTGTGTTTATTAAATGCAGAACCTATATATTGGCCAATGTTTGTCATAGCTGTATTCGCAGCCATCATTGCAAGTCAAGCTTTGATTTCCGGGACATTCGCTATAATCCAGCAATCTCTGGCTTTAGGATGCTTTCCTCGTGTTAAAATCGTGCATACATCAAAGAAACATCATGGACAAATCTACATTCCTGAAATCAATAACCTTCTCATGATCGCTTGTGTTCTTACCACTATCGGATTCAAGACTACTGAAAAGCTTAGCAATGCTTATGGTAAAGGCCACTTAACTCTATTTCTTCTACGGAGTGAAATAAACATGTAAAAAGTGCAGGGGACTTGCCTTCTTTTCTATATTATTAACTCGATCACTCTATTGCTTGATTACAGGAATAGCAGTGGTGTTTGTGATGTTCCTAACATCGTGCTTCCTCATACTAGTCATGATCTTGATATGGAAAACCAACATTCTTCTTATTATCGTCTATATTCTAATCATTGTTTCGGTTGAGCTTGTATACCTAAGCGCAGTCCTTTACAAGTTTGAACAAGGTGGTTACCTCCCTGTGGCTTTAGCTCTGTTCCTAATGTTTATCATGTACGTATGGAACTATGTGTACCGTAAGAAGTATCACTACGAGCTAGAACACAAGATCTCTCCCGAAAAAGTTAAAGAAACATTGGATGCAACCAGTTCACATCGCCTTCCAGGTCTTGCCATTTTCTACTCTGAACTAGTCCACGGAATCCCCCCAATCTTCAAGCATTATGTTGAGAATGTACCTGCTTTACACTCTGTCCTCGTGTTCGCTTCTGTCAAATCACTTCCCATAAGCAAAGTTCCACTAGAAGAAAGGTTCCTCTTCAGAAGGGTGAAACCATATGACCTCTATGTGTTCCGTTGTGTGATACGTTATGGATACAATGAAATGCGCAATGAGGAAGAGCCTATCGAGAAGTTATTGGTAGAAAGGCTAAAGAACTACATCAAGGAAGATTACATGTTCTCAGTTGCAGCAAATGGAGACAATCAAGGAGAAACTGCTTCCTTGATTGAGAAAGACGTCGAAGTACTTGAGAGAGCTTCCAACATGGGAGTGGTTCATTTGGTTGGAGAACAAGACGTTGTCGCGTGCAAGGGGTCTGGTGTAACCAAAAGAATGGTGATCAACTACGCATACAATTTCCTCAAGAGGAACTTAAGACAGAGTAGTAACAAAGTATTCGATATCCCAACGAAGCGAATGCTCAAAGTTGGAATGACATGTGAGCTTTAGGGTGATTATTTTCTCTAAAAAAAAATTGTAAGGTTTAAAATAAATGTGCATAGAGTTGAAGGGAACAAGGGAGAAGGCACCATATATGTTTCAACTTCCATCATCAAAAGGTGCTTGCACAAGAAAAAATAATGTTCTTTTTGTTAATTTCTTAGTTTTCAATTTGTTTGTTTGTTTGGATTTTGTATGAGATAAGCTAAGCTAAGCCTGATTTTGTAAGAGAATAAGCTAAGTATTTGTATTTTGTTTTTTTCTTGTTTCAAAGAAAAGAGAAGATCAAGATATGTCTAGATAAAAAAACAACATAGGTGTAGTTGTTTTTGACTAGCAAAACATTTTTGTTTTTACCTTGTAATATCTTGTAAAAGATTGTCAGTTCATACATAATAATAATAATTAATCTAAGAATAAATAGTTTATAGAAATACTATCTTCTTTGTGTTTTTCTCTTAGTGTGTAATGTGTATGTTTTAATTTTTCCTTACTAATTTGGCGTGGTCAGACAAACATCATTTGTCGGAAAATTATATTACGTACTTTTTATTTCTGTTGAATAACATGTATTGTTTTATTTATATGATAATAGTTCAACTTCATTTAATGTAATTGCTTAAGTCATGAAGAAGAAAATTTATCACTTTGTTACAAGTAATTTGAAATTTATTGAAAAAACTTGATCCTATTATAAATTGTTGACCTTTGGTTTAAACTACAGAGTTGTCTCTAATGGTACATGATATATATCCACAGCTATACCCTTTTTAAGTTCGAGAATAGTCTAGGTCGGAAGAGAAACTAGTTAAACTTTTTGAGTACTGAGATATTGAACAACAAACATTTGAAACAAACCCTGAGATGAGGAAGAAGGTTCATTTGACTTGAATCTTGGACTTAATCTTAAATCCTACATAGGCTAAAGATGCAACGGGGTTAAGTTTTTGTTTTTTTCATCAATGTTGGTACAGTCGAGGCTCGTACACCCATTTGTCCTTACCCTGGCTCTATAATCCACCAAGTCGCGATAGCTGGTACCAAAGAAAAATGTTGGAATATAAACAATATAGCATAGGACACTGCTTATCATTATAGTGATTTATTGAGTTGTTAACTTCTTTCACTATCGACACTGTTTACAAAAAAATTTGTGTACGTCACTTTCACTAATTGTTCATCATATGCCCATATCTTATGCAATCAAATAATTCTAAGACACAAAGTTGGTATTTATATAACTTTACAAGCAAGCAAGGACGTTAGCCAGCTTGGAGGTGTCTTACTTTTAGCAATATATATGCTGTCAATTTTTAGCACTAAAATCAAGTCCTTATAATAAAAAAAACTGCATGCAATAATAGGTCCAAATACTAACACAACACTAAGGGGTTGTTTAGATGAAGAACAAGTTATCTTGATATTAATTATCTTACTTTCAATATGAAATAAAAATAACATTATAGTTCCGAAAAAGTTATTTTGTGATTCTGTAATCTCCAATCAAATCGAGATAAATTCATTCTAAAATTAATCAAAGTCTTACATGGAATAAACTCATCCTTTAGAAGTTTAGATATATACACGTGAAAACTATGAAAGTGTAGCAAATGATATAAGGAATACATATTTTGAACTCATGACTTCAAAAATATAGCTAAATCAGTGTTAAGAATTTTAAAAATTGAACTTACCAAATTTAAATTTTGAATCCACCTTTTTTTAATTAATCACATCAGTCAGTTTCTTTTGCAACCCAACTACAGTGAGACCTGATGATATATCACTCACCTGCAAGAAAATGATTAATTATTTTATTTGAAGAGTAAATATATTCCTTATAAATGAACACAACATTTTGTATCCTTAATTCTAGAGGTATATAACACATTTTTTTTTTATAAATTATAATGACATTGTTCGGATATTATTTTTGATTATTTTAGAGAACATATAATAAAATATGAAATAAAAACTATCATGCCATTTTTGAAATTTATAATTAAAAGAATTGGATATTTTTCACGTAAAAAAATTGTGTTTTTACTTTAATGCACTTCATAATTCTACATTTTAGAACCAAGGAACAAATAAAGCAACCTAGTCCATTGCTTAAGAGAAAATCAGGCTAACCCAATTACCCCCCTTGTGTTATTATGATGTACATAATATCTAACTCTTTTTTCGTTTTGTCTCATATTTCTTAGTTTGGCTGAACACAAAAAATTATGAATATAAAGAAAATTTTAAATAATTTTGTGACATTATAAACTATAATCATGTATAACACATCATATATATTTTGAATCTTATAGTATAAAACATCTCAATTGTCATGTCATTTCTATGTTTAGAGCCATTTGATGTAGAATGAAAGCTTTGAATTAATAATTTAACATAAAAATGTGATTATTTTAAATACACAGAACCGAAATATAAATAAAATATATAAAAATTAAAGACATTGGATTTAGCGATGGATAAATTTATATTGTTAAATAGAAAAATTCGTTGCTAATCCTATTTAAAGATATATTTTACAAAGACGGATCAACGATGAAATATATAGCTTCTTTTTAGTAGTATAAATTGAAACAAAAAAGAGTATATTTTACTAATATTTTAAATACTAATAACCAAACTATTATTTGCAAGATTGAAATATATAAATATGTATATTAATTTTTTCTTACCTGACATTGGATCCTGATCAAAGTCCTTTCATCTTTTTTGGAATTATCACAACTAACCACATTTAGCCCTTGTTTAAGTAGCCATCTCAACACTTTGGATAAAGAAAATATATCCTCTTTATTGCTATTATTGACATTAATCAGAATTTCCATACCATCTTCACATTTATTCACTGTGACACAATTATTATTTTGTTGAAAAATATCAACAATTGTTGAACTTTTATTTTGATTATCCAATGAAATAATACATTTTCTTGTATTATCCAACTCTTGTATATTCTTCTGAAGATACTTTATATAATTCACGGCTGCATGCATATGATCTGATGCTGAACGTTTACCCTATTTTTATAATAAAAATTCAAATCATGTTATAATTTAAAAATAAAAAAGTTCATGGTGTGTGTACTAACGAAATAAAAGATATTTATACAATCAAGTCATTTAAAAAGTAATTGCAAATAATTTTTGCAGTAAGCATTGATAAAAAATGATAAATAACATAGTATAATTAGAAGGTAATTGCAAATAATTTTAGTAGTAAGCATTGATAAAAAAAATTGATAAATAACATGTTAAATTATAGAGATAATGTAAAAATTTATATTATCAATGCAAAAGTTCTTCAATTTTTTTGTACTCAATATAATGAAACCCTTACAAAAAAAAATAGAAAGAAAGACATATAGAGAAACTAGAATTAATAAATAACACAGGCTGATATATATACTTTATCTTGGAAACAATTTTTTTTTTGTCAATGATCATATATTCAACATTTTTTTTTTTCAAAAAAAGAAAAAAAGAGGAGAGGAAAATAAAACTATGTCCCGTATTTTAAAAACAAATTTTAATTTTTACTTGTCGATATATTAAAAACATTTTTTTTACCTTAATATTAATTACTTATTTCCAAATCATTTCTTGAAACCAAAAAGTATACATCAATTAATATGAATTTTATGGTAAAATACCTATATTAATCATTGTTTGTTGACGAACGTAAGGCCAGAGTCTAAAAGGAGTAGTTATCTCACCTTGATGAACTCAATGGGAATTAGAGATCTGAGAGAAGTAACAAGATTTGCCATTTCTTGCCTTCTATGCCTTTCAATATTTCTATGCACAGCTTTCTTGAGCTTATTTGATTCATCTTGACTTCTTAACCCCTCCTTAGTAAAAGATTTATATAGTCGATCACAACAACTTGTCTGGAGTTGACCAGGCATAATAATTGATGTACTACTTCTATTTACTGAAGATTTATACAGCCGATCATAACTTGTGTGGGACTGAGGCGTAATAATTGAAGTACTTTTCGTACTAATCAAAGATTTACATAAATAATCACTACTTCTCTGAAACTGAGGCATAATAATTGAAGTATTTGTGCTGACGGTTGAAGATTTATACGGCTGATCACAACTTGTTTGGAACTGAGACGTAATAATTGACGAACCAACATGATCCTCTATGAGATCTTGATTATCTTGTTGGGAAAATCCATTTAATTGGAAAGTAGGAATCTGAATCTGAAGTAGGTGGTGGTTATGATCAACATGATCTTCACTAATATTTTGTTTGTTATCAGTGAAGATCTCCCAAAGATAATTATTGTCCATTGAACTAATTATGCTCTAATGGATATATTTTGATCTTCTTTTTGGTATTTTAATTGAAAGGTGATAAAGAAGAAGATACGTTAGTTAGGGTTTTGAGATCTCCCTAATATCTTCATAAACAAGAAGATAATACACTAATTGTTTATTAGATTTTTTAAAATTTAATAGTACCTATTCATATCTACGCTTATGGTCCCACCATTTGCTTCCACACTATCCTTTTAATTTATTTAGCGTCACTCTTTTAATACTTTATAGATGTTGACGGAGATTGATTTTACGTATTATTAATTTGATTAATTAATTTTTAATTTTTAAATGTGTAAAATTAATAATTTTTCATGTATTTTTGGTTTAAGAGTTTTTGGTTTAATTAATCAGAAGATACTTATAAAATAAATATATAATTTTTCTAATAAATTTGAGGCGAAAACACAATAATGTAATTTTACAAATATTCATAAAATAGAAACAATAATAATAAATATGAAAAGAACTATAAATGTGTAACACGGAGGGAAATGATTAAGAAGAATAAGGTTCTTACTTTAGATTTTAACGTTTTGTATTATGTGAATTTGTGAACTCAAAGTCATTATGAAGTGTAAATTGAAGGTTAAATGACAAATATAGTAACTAGTAAGATATTGAAATTAATATATAATATTATGTACAAGTAAAAGTAGTAAATTACTAGTCTTAATGGGTTATCGATTTACCCAATATTAAGAACCAATACCGAACTGATAATTCAATAATTTTTTTATAAAATTATTAAAAACCCGTTGAAAAAATCGTTAACACTTTTATGGGTTTGATTTTTGTACACCCCTACGTATAATAATATTTATATCATCAGATTATCTAAAAAGTAAATAAAAAATATAATCAAAGTGTGAAAAATTGATATGACCTCGAATTGATCGAACTCCAAGTTGGTCTGACCGGTCCAGACCCTTTTCTGGATGAGCAATTTTCACATATAGCAAACATGAAAATTATATTTGTATATTATATCTATAGTTTATATAATTGCGTTTCATAGCAAATTTTACGTTTGATATGACTATTAATCTTTATATTTTGATATACATATACACGAAAAAATTGTATATCGATCTATTTATATATTTCGGTATATAAATGGATCCTGTAATGGGTCCTGTATTTGTATATTTTTGTACACAAATGAATCTTGCATTAGTATATTTCAATACAAATGAGATGACAAAAAAAAGATATTTACTGTGAATCACAAATAAAATAAACTATAACTGTAATATTTAATTTGAATTAATAATTTATTATTTTATGTAATTTTTCATCTCGGAATATCTTCCGGCCAAACCTTCCAAATTGGGCCGGGCCGAGTTGGGCTTTATCGGTTTTAATGAGCTAGATCCGGGCTGATCCGGGCCAGTTGACAAGTTTAGTTGTGAGGTTGTCTCTTTATTTTATTTAGTCATATATTTTGGTTAGTTATTTGCACCTAAATTGGAATAAACTTCCTAGTGGTCAAAGATTCTTAATTTATTTTATGACTATGGTGCTTAAGTAAGCATGTTAAATATAAATATCAGTTAATTTTATATATTAAAACTTTTTTTTTTTTTTGAAAAAAAGCATTTATTATATACTTTTTTCCCTATTAAAATTTAAATTGAGATATCATAATTTTCTATTCACTTCATTAGAGGTGTATATGATCGGGTTGGTTTGGGTTTTTCAAATATCAAATCAAACTATTTGTATCGAATTTTTAAATATATAAACCAAACCAAAGCATAAACTCAAGGTTTTCAACCTTGGGTATTTTTGAATTTTTTCGCTAAAGTATTTATATAAAAATATAATTTATTTGTAATTCAAATATTTCTTCAGTCCTATCAAAATATAACTATCTAAGGTGTTTCTGAATATAACATAAACAATGGTATGATTAATGATACTAAAATATCAAATGTGTGTGTGTGTGTGTATATATATATATATATATATATATATATATATATATATATAAATTAAAATTGCGTAAAATAAATATTGCAAATTAACAAGTCATAATGAAAATGATCATAATTTAAAAGTACTAAAAAATGCTGAAACAAGTTTTGTTATAAAATCAAACTCATAAGAATATAATCATAAAGAGAAGAAGACAAGAGAAACATATAGAAGAAGAGGAATTTTCTTCTTATTCAAGTGTATTCAAGTCTCATATGTATATATTACAATAGTGAATGAACAACCCTATTTATAGAGTGAGAAATCACTCCAAAGGTCACCATATTAAGTATCATAATAAATAGATACATTCTTATCTAAAAAGGTTCATGTAACCTAGTGAATATGAATGGTTGTTCATGTACCAACCTTATGGACTATCCACTCATTCAATGAATTTATAACACTCCCCCTTGGATGTCCATAGATAATGTGCCTCGTTAAAACCTTACTAGGAAAAACCCTGTGGAAAAAAATTCTAGTGAAGGAAAAAGAGTACACATATCTTTTGATACGCACCATTTGTTGCCTCATTAAAAACCTTGCCAGGAAAACCCAGTGGGAAAAAAACCTCGATCAAGGGAAAAAGAGTGCAACGCGTATTGTACTCCCCCTGATTAAAACATCACTTAATTTCTTGTGATGATGTCTCCAGTCTTTGTACATTGTGGTTGGTATATTCTTTTTTTTAAAGAAAAACCACACATTTCTTGAATATGGTGTGTCATTTATCTCAACCAGACGCACTTTTGACTTGCTTCATGGAGGACTTTTATTTCTGCAGAGCAACATTTGCTTCATTGATCCCCAGGATATTATTGTGCCTCCACATGCAAACACATAGCGTGCTTGAGATAGAGCTTTATGCGGATCAAATAAATATTATGCATCTGCGTAATCAATCAATTTTGTCTTGGATTCCTCGGGATAGAATAAACTCATAACTATGGTCCTTCGAGGATATTCAATCATGTGCTCAACACCATTTCAATGTCCTTTTATCGGGGAGAAACTGAATCTTGCCAGTAAATTTACTGCAAAACAAATATCTGGTCAAATATTGTTAGTAAGATGCACTAGTGCCCTGATTGCACCAAGATAGAGTTTCATCACCAAGAAACTGTTCATCCTTCTTTTGAGATCAAACTGAATCATCATTTATGTCAAGTGATCTCATAATCATTGGGGTACTCAATGAATGCGAGATATCCACATAAAATTGCATCAAAATTTTTCAGTGTATGTGCACTGTTAGACAAATATTTTATTTGTCAAATTAACAATCTGTAGGTCTAGACAAAATTTTGTCTTACCAAGACCTTTTCATAAAAATACAAGGAAAATTAGGGTCATTCTTTTGTACCCTTTTTCTTCCTTGACTATTTCAATCCATATAAGGATTCTTGAAGCTTTATTGGAAAAGTTTCTTTCAAACTCTTATATGCTTCAGACACCTCGATTGTTTCAAGAATTTTCATATAACCTTCATTGTCTAGCTAGACATTACAATTATTCATTTACATGCATTCAAGTTTTCATATGTTGCCAGATCAAAACAAACCTCATTTCATCCACCAAAGGAGAAAACATCTCCACTAATGTCAGGATTTTTGCGATAAACCTTTATGCCCCAAGGCACAAACCGTATTTGATATCTTACGGTTATACTATCGCATAATAATTTATTTGTACCCCACTGACATTATATCTTGATTTATGGACTATCAGTCCAAAATGTCACTTTTCTAAGTGAAACAAAATATAATTGAATTGTGCATTTTACTTGGCCAACCATTTATCTGTTCACACTATATGACAGATTTGAATTCAAGATCCTCATCACAATTTATATCATTGAGCGCTACCTCATATCAAAGATACCTTCGACGGTTATTTGATATCGATTCCAACAGGACATAACTTATCGAGATCTCTTCATTTTTCATTATTTCAGGTACCTGAACCTTTTTCAAAATTTTATGAAGTGTTATGTCAATGTGCTCTTTTATAGCACTTGCCTCATTATCATGACCATATTGATCATTTGCTCCTTCCTTCTTCAAGGAATTTTATATTTGGAATCGATTGGTCTATTACGCTTCCGGCGTATCATAGACTCTGTCCTTCAAGGACTTCACATTGGAGCACTTGCAGCTGAATTATATCATAAGATCAGTGCATTCATCTGGCAACTGATTTTCAACATTATGCAACTGAATTATCTCTTGAACTTTAAGTTCACATATTTATTTTAACGAGGATCTAGATAATTCATAATTAACTTCACACATAATTTTCAGCTGTCAATCATTTCTCCCCCTAATGTTAGAAAATCTAACATTCATTCCAATCTTATTTGGAAGTTCATCTTTGTGCGTGGTGGAGCAATTAAAATCATAATCGCACATTCAACATTTTAGATGAAAATTATATGGTTCCTGACCCTGAACCAATTTTAATGGGGAAACCTTTTTTGTTTGATGCATACATGTGTTGCTACATGTTAAACAAAATTATCTCATACCAAATTTTATTTGGGAGTTTTGTTCTCATAACCATGATTTAGCTATAATTGGAGGCATACAATTTCTGCTAAATCAACCACTATTATCAATATAATTTCATAATTTGAAACTATGCTATTAATTTTAACAATTCGAGCAAACAACTTTACAAAAACCAATTTGTAAGTTGACAACAAAATACATGTGACCATCGCATAGATGTATTAATCATATAATTGCAAATGATCCACATGACAGGTAAACAGACCCATATTCACCCTTTTATATGTTCCAAAAAATTTTACGGGATTACAGTCCCGACCTTAGCTGGTACAATGATCATTTTATCAATAGAACAAGCAACACAAGAGAATTCTTGAAGAATCTTTATTTCTTAATCATATAAATCACTTGAATTCTCAATCACGTTTGCATTACATTTAATCGGAATGGTCAATCAGTCATGCCAACTGATCTTTATTTTAGTACACTTATAATTTACTTTTACATGTGATTTCATCAGCATGTACATGTTTGTATGGAACAAACAGGAGGAAAAGTGGGGTAATCTTTTACATAAACATTATAACCCTCTTCGGTTGTAGTGATTTA